ACTGGTGGAGCTTCTCCATTGGCTAACTTCGCAAAAAGAGATGATTAGTTGAGCACATTAATGTCATTGCAAGATCCTGGCATGCCAAATCCATGTCTCCTTATCGGCCACAGCCTCAAGAATGATGGTGGTATCCTTGCTGCATCCTCTGAACTGTCCATGCCATTTCATAGAACTATTCTTCCACTTTTAGTGCATGTAATCGGTAGACTGAAGCATACCTGGAAACCCATGGGCTTGTTCATCTCCAAAAGCCACGGAGTGTCCTAAGCGTTGGGTGATCTCAAGTACTCTAGACCAAACACTTCTACCATACTCTTTGCAAATTGTTTGATATAAAAGATAGAAGTGCTCTCTGTCATTGCCAAATTGCCATCAATGTAATCATCTGGGACACCATAGGCCATCATGCACAGTGCGACAGTGACCTTCTGCTTAGTGCCATGTCCAAGCATAAATGTGCATAAACAAATCCTTGGACATTCTGAAACGTCGATGAAAATTCCTCTCTGGAAAAAAACCGGCGGAGTACCAAAAAAATTGTGCATCAATCTTTTGTGCGTCTCTACCCATTCTCTCCGTGTGTACTCATGGCCAAACACAGAACCGTCGTGCTTCGGCTTCTTTCGCTTGTGCAACGCTATGAGCAAAGCAATGTCCTCTTCCTCAGCCAAGTCAAATTCCTCATCCGATGAGGAATCGTCCCAACTAGAGGAGCCGCATGAGCCCATCTACAATACGGAAATCAACATCAAACTACATCTACGTGCAAAAAAAAATCCCGGCAAGTTTAATCAAATTTTCACCTTGGGGGGATTTTGTCGAACAGGTTTCGTGCGGGGATGAAGGAATGACCGGCTGCTAGTCGGAGCATTGATGGTGGTCGCGTCGGCTGTTGTGGGTGTGCAAGTGGGTCTCCTACGCCTCCTTGATGGTGTGCAACTAGTGGCTGAGCTTATTTGCGGCCACGCAATGCCGGCAACGCCAACCGAAGCAATGGCAGCTCGGCTCAGCCATGTTGGTTGTTCGACAACCCCTCCAAGCTCTGGCAACCCGTAGTTCTACTATGGAAGGTGGCGACGAGCTACGGGAGCCATCAAGGGCGCTGCACGCTCCGGCCAATGGGGCCTCCGGCGACGCGGCTGTCGGTGGGGTCAGGGATCGACGGACGAGCGGCAGCGGGCGACTACTAGGGCGAAATCGTCGACAGTGGGAGGCGGGTGGAGGAGAGAGACTGTGACACGGGAAGGTACCGCCTCGCAGTTGGGCGTTTGCATGACACGAATTAGTTTTACACGCTCAACGGCTGGTTGTGTATATTTGAATCACAAAGTGATGTATTTTACACCTAGAGTAGAACTAGCGATCTTTAATTGTTGTAGCACCGTTTTTTGGCATTTATACTGTAAAAAGTGGTTATTTATACGAAAATGCCTTTTGGAGCTCAGCCTTTATGGTGGCCAGTTTAAAAAAAACAAAATTCATAAAAATTCATATTTTTTTTTAAAAATGAAAAAAATACAGATATACATGAAGGCATAGTATATATTTGTGTAAATTTTTAGGACGAAATACGTTGAATGAAGGCTGTGCAAAAAAGACAAATCTGACGCTTTTGCGAAAAACAGAACGCGATTCGAGGGACTGGCATGCATTTGCGAAAAACAGAGTGCGATTCGTTCCTAGACCCAATGCACCAAAAAGTTCAAAACCCTTTTTCTCCCTCAAAAAAAGTAAAATTCAAAACCTTTTTCGTTCCTCCCGAACCGTCGCGTCCACCGCCGCCTCCCCATTTCCCACACCGCCACCACCGGCGCCCCCTCCGCCGACGACGCAGCGGACGAGAGGCAAGGGAGCGATGGTCTCCGCGGCGGCGGAGGAGGGCGAGGACCCGCGCTGGAGGAGGAGCAACACGGACTGCGTCTTCTTCCTCGTCTCCCGCGTCAGCTGCACCAAGGTGCCGTACCACTCAAAACCCTATCGCAAATCCGTCGATTCGTTTGGTTTCTGTGTCTCCTTGCCGGTGAATGGCAGCTGGATGCCGCCTCGGTTGGTTGATTTACTGATCGGAGTTCGTGTGCGGTTTTGGTTGCAGGGGTCCAAGTGCGAGTACCGCCACTGCGAGGGCGCGCGGTTCAACCCCAGGAACTGCTGGTACTGGTTCCACGGCAGCTGCGTCAACCCAAGCTGCACCTTTCGCCACCCTGTGTGTGATCCGTACACCCGTAACCTCTGAGCTCAATACCTTCGAATTGATATGTGTGTGTGCTTCTGTAATCGCAAAAGGAAGAAGTGCGTGTACTTCCATGCTTGCTTGCATGCCTACCTAGGACGCTTGCTTTGGTGGACGGGTGTCATTATTACGCTTGTGTCAGGCTAACTACTGTTGTGGTGTAATTTGCGAAGAAGGGTTGCATGCCTAATATGTCATCATCATAGTGGATCTCTCTTTGCTTACAAAAATATTCACAAACACCCTTGAGCTTATTCTAGGTATACATTAGCCCCAATTCTTCTATTACACCTTGCACGCTGAGCCTGCCCACTGTTAGTCAGCGACAATTCGGTGTAGAATTTCGTAGAATTTCTTGTTTGTATGCATTGTGAGTTTGTGACAGCAAACAATTTCATTTCTATGTGTAGTTTTGTGCTTTTCTGCATGCCTGCATTTCGTTTAGGGGTGGAAATTTATAACCATGAAATCAGGTAGGAAAAGGAGGACTCACTTGACCCGGCGGTTAATTTATTTGAGTTTGTCTATGCTCATGTACCAATTCTACAAATAGAATATGAGATTCCATAGAATATCAGGTTGTGGTATTTCGATGAATTGCCCTGATAGTGTGTTGGTGCTTGTTGTCTGATGAGCTTCTCCTGTTGCAGCCAATGGAAAATTTCAACAGAACCAAGTCCTTGACAGTCCCACCCTCATCAGATGGTTCTATTTCTGTCAAGACAGCCAATCCTTGTTATTTCTACTATAGCTCTGGCTGCAAAAAAGGTGACAATAGCCCCTTCCTACATGAGCCAACCCCTAACACTGAATCAGCGATTTCTTCTGAGGCTACTACTTTCAATCCTGCTGTCAATGAAAATTCTGCTGGAGATGAGATGGTTGAGGCATTGAAGGGTGCTCACACTAGTCCTTGTCAGGACACCTTGTACCACATAAAGAAATGCCACTCAAAAGAAGTTCCTGAGTCAATATATCTCGAATTTGATGGTCCTATTTCGGTCACGCCTGAAACATCAATTGACACTGGTGAATACATAAAGTGTTTCACCCACTCAGATCAGAGCTCAGAATATTCAACAATGGATGACGCAGAGCAAGATTGAAGTCGTGATTCCTCCCCTGGATTTGATGTGCTCGTTGATGATGGGCTCTCTAACAAGAATGACCTTGAGAAACAATTGGCGCAGAAAAGAGATGCTCAGGTGCTTCATGCGAAATATGATATTGGAGATCCAGTCTGTTATGATCGGGATTATTATGATTCATGGTACTATGGGCAAGCATTTTGTAGCTTTGATGATCAACATGGTTATGTTAGTCATCCTGAAGGAGTTCAAGACCCTGATGTTGAGACCACTTTGGGACACATACCACACAATACAAGAAAGCTTGCAATGCCAAGTTCTAATGAGTATGATAGAATGTTCTTCAATTCCAGCTTCATCGGCTCAGCAGCAGATGATGTGTTTCCTCGTCAGCATACTGAGACAAGACACGCTTCAAAGAGAAGACCTGAGAAGAGAAAAGGTGCCAAGAGCAGGAAGGGTCGCACTAAGAGGCGTCGGGGTCTTGAACCCGTGAGTGGTTTCCAAGGCATTGAATCAAGATCCACTCATTACAGGCAAGAGTTCTTCATAGAGGAGTGTCCTCAGTCTGTTGTCTGTGCTACCTTCAGGGGGCAGAAGAAGAAACGTAGAGGAAAACAGCACAATGTAATTTCTGCTAGATCTTCTGAACATCCTACCACAGATTTTACTGGGCCAAAGACCCTAGCTCAGATAAAAGAAGAGAATTGTGTATCTAAGTCACGCTTTAGCCACTCTGCTGCTCGCATGCCTCATGGGGGTTCTTTCTCAAATGATTTTGAAGGCCCAAAATCTCTGACTGAGCTTCTCAAGGCTAAGGATAGGGTTTCAATTAGCTAGCGCACCTAGCAAGTGCATATAAACTGCAATATTGTCTGTTCTCTGCTCAGCTTGGTCAGAATGATGTTTATGGCAGCTGCGTTAGCAACTTGGGAGCACTACTGTCAAAGAGAATGGAACATGAAGTGTCACTTCTGCAGTCGGACTATTTAACATTCTGGTTAATTTTAGGAGGAAGGAATCAACATTCAAGAATAACTAGCTGCTATAGTTGGTAAATGATGTTAACTAGCTTGTTACTTCTTGTTGCCACGTACGTAACTGTAAGTTAGGGCTCGCTGGAGATTCTGTTATGTCTTTTAGACCATCAGTTAACATTGTGGCAGGGTCATCTACTACTTTTCTGTATATCTGCGCATTTCGTATCCCTTTCAGCTGCTTTACAATCCAGGATTAATAGTGCATTAAGGCAAGAAGAAAGGGGTGATGATATTTGCTGTTGATTCTGCATTTAATGTTAAGCTACTTTAGGCAATATTCTGTTAGCTCTTGAATACATCACAACAAACAAGATGGTGTTTCAGCTAATAGTACTTGTGTAGGCAGGCAGAGGGTCCCGTTTTATCAATACACTACTTGGTGTCAATGCATTGTACATACATTGATATATACCTTATATCCTCCCTTCGTCTTGAGCCTTCTCCAGTTATCACCATCATGTGACTCATCCTGAATTTGTTATGGTTACCCTTCCTTGATATGCATGTATATTATTAGGTTTGGTCAATACACACTTTCCTCCCCACTGCAGACCTTATTATGCAACTTCTTAGGCATGAACACTGAGAGAAACACCCACGAACACAGGTAGAGAAGGACGGAAGTAATACCAAAGGGAGATGGCAGAGCTGCAGAGATCTTCCCAAACATTTAGGAGGTCTGGTTCATCTGGTCTGATCTGGGAGGAGAGGCTTATGCCTAAAGACCAGAACCAGAGGAATCAAGGGGCAGCTGGGGAGGCAGAGGTCAACAGCTTAGAACTCAAGGAGCTAAGGCACTCTCGTAGCAACGGGTCCAGGGGAGGTGTGCAGCGTAGGTGCAGTGACGGTGCAGAGCGCGGTGGCATGCCCAGCGACATCAACCAGGCCTTTCGTACTCGGCATGTTCCGCCAGCTCTTGATCCACCTTCACCCAAGTTTGCTCGATGCATGTTCTGTGGAACTTTTAGGAAGGAAGGTCCCTCACAACCTTCCGAACCCAGAAGGTACTAGGGTGGTGCATATACTTTTGAGTGTTTGAGAATAGGGATATAAGACATTTTATGGCTGATTGAAGTTCGGGTGTATCATAATAAGCATATGTTTGGTTTGCGTGAGGTTATTTGAATAGGTTTGCATGTTTCACTGTGTGTCGTTGCTACCTTTCCTTTTCTTTTCAGTATTATCTTGGAAGTGAGAAAAAAATAACATGTCCTTGTACAGTTTGTGCATATGATGCTTTTCTTCATTATACTATGTGTGTTACATTGCATGGTTAAAAACTTATAACTGTTTGCTGATTGCTGATCATTGTCTCTGTTCATGATACTGATCAGCCAGTAAATTCAGCTACTGAAGCTACAACCTGAGTTCACTTCTACACGTAACAAGTTCTCTTTTATCTGTAAGGCTACTAGTTAGTACAGTACTTTGTATATTCGTAGCACACTGTGTGCTTCTTTCCTAGTTGTCTTAGTGAATTTATTGTTCCAATTTATTTATTTCTTCAAATATGGGTGCCTGGTCGAGAAACACTTTCTTAAAACTATATATAGGCAAAAAGAAAAGAAAAATCTGTAAGATATAGCCATATAGGATATCACGTCATGGTTTTTTTTAGCTTGGATCCACCTCTGGTTTCAGTTACCATCTAAATGATTTTGTTTGCATGCATGACTAAGTCGAAGTCTAACTTTTCAACGGTGCGTATATTTCTAGTTGTACTTTTGGCTTATCACCCCAACTGCTTCTATTTAGCAATACTTACAATGCTATCATGTGATGTAGGCTACTGTATCTGTAGACCTATCCCGCCCACTTCATTAATAATTAGTTCTTAATGCTTAGTTGAGATCTTTATGAAATCCTGACCTTCGGTCATCTTTCAACTTGTGAGCCCATGCACACTGGAAACTTTTTGTTGCATGTACTTGGTAATGTTCAACTAAAATGTTTTCCTGAATGTTATTTATGATCTTCCGCAGTTCCTGCTTTTTACTATCCAGGAGAGATCTTCCTTAGTAGTATATTCTTATGCAGAAGGTGGGATTGGAATCAACCACCCATGTTCGAATCCCATCTTCCACTTGAGAATGTATTGCAGAGTCTCCTTCCACCGTTAGTCTGTCCTTATTATCCAGGCAGAGCCCTGTTGTGTTTATGGCGAATTGTTCATGAATCTGGCTTGAAAATCGTTTGAATTTTCATTGATAGTTAGGCCCTGTTGTTGCATACAGTCGTGCAAATCAGGGGAAGTCTGTTTGCTGATGACTGGTCACACAACTCAAACTACTAACTCCCTCCGTATCAAAATATATGATGTTTCTGTAGGCTAGCTTAGCCTAAAAACGTCTTATATTTTGTACCGAGGGAGTACGTGTTAAAGTTTGTACTTCCTCCGATAGATACATCCGTATCTAAGACAAATCTAAGTCAAGTAATATGGATCGGAGGGAGTAGCACTTTTTTCATATGCAGAGCACATAAATTTGGCTGCAACATGTGTCGGGTGCATACTTAGATTATGTGTACTGATAGCAGAACACATGAACGTCACGTTTAAGTTTGTCCTAAGTCAAACTTGTTTAAGTTTGACCAAGTCTATGAAAAAAAATGAACATTTGGAACACCAAATCAGTCTCATTAGATTCTTTATGAAATATATTTCCGTACTATGTGTATTTGGTGTTGTAGATCTTTGCACATTTTCTGTAGAGTCGGTCATACTTAAGCAAGTTTGACTTGGGACAAACCTAGAACTTCAGTTATTTTGGAACGGAGCGAGTAGATCGTAACATGGTCTTAGCATGTCCAGCTTAGGAGATATCATCATATTGGCTGTGAGTTTTTGCTTCTGAAAAATTGTTTCCGCCACTTTGTTATGTCAACTGACTGATCACGCGGTAGCAGAACTTTTTTTAAGTACTCCCTCCGTCCCATAATGTAAGATGTTTTTCGACACTACGCTAGTGTCGAAAAACGTCTTACATTATGGGACGGAAGGAGTATATTATACGTAGGACTTACAGTCATGTCTGGCCATACTTTATGCCCATCTGTGGGTTGACACTTGACAGAGTTCAAGTATCCAAGCCGCTACCAAAGTGGATTTAAACATGTGCTGACGTCGTAAAGCCGAGTGGTGTGCTAATTGGTGAGCTATTCACAAAGTGATTGCAAGCATAGTGCCTTGCAGTTCTTTTCATCATCTTCACAGGATATCATGACAAAAATTTCCTGCCTACCTTCAACCTCATGATCATTCAGACCTGTGCTTGTTATATTACACGGTATAGGGCTGGGCTGTATTTCGGTAGGGAGCATTTCAACATTAGTTTGCCACGGTCTCACCACACACTGCATGCAAGTGATTCTGATTTGATTTCCAAGTGTTGTTTGTCTAATCCTTTTGAAAGAGCACCAGAAACGCTGCTTATGCTTTCATCCCCCGCTCTACCCTTCTATAGGAACTGAGAGCATCTTGTGTCGCAATGGGCAAATATAGCCCCATTTATCCACCAACCATGGACAGCAGGGTCAACCTTATTTTTTTTCTCGAATACGCATGAGTGTATGTACTTTATATTATAGAAGGAGAGGTAGAATAGCCGTTAACATATTACAATGCGCATGCAACGCCCACTCCACCCGGTCTAATCCGGTCTAAACAAGTGTGTCTAACCCCCTCTCACTCACCCACCTTGATGACACCACGAAGAACGTTGTGGTGTCACACTTGAGCAGGCCAGCCCTCTTCCACGTCCGTCCCTTCTCTTGTATTCGCTACAACACTGTGTGATGGAGGGCGTTGCATCGTCAAAGACAATTGCATTCCTGTGTTTCCAAAGCTCCCACATCACCAACATGAACAACGTCTTGATGTCTTTTCGGGCTGCCTTGTTTCTCGTTTTGTCGGCCTGCCTTGTTTCTTGTTTTGTCAGCGCGCCAATCTTGGAGTGAGTTGGGCATAGTCAGCGCCGACTCAGGCTTACCCAAGGCCCGACATAGAACCGTCCATGCCTCCCTAGCAAACACACATTCCAGCAGTACGTGGCTAATCGATTCTTCTGCCTGGTCACAGAAGGGGCAAGCATCCTAGTGATCCAGTCCGCGTCTCGCTAATCTATTAGAAGTCCAACATCTATTCTTGAGTGCCAACCATACGAAGAAGCGACATCACATTTGTGCACCAGAGTTCCATGTGAAAGCTGTCGTTGGAATAACTCCCGTCCCCAGAACTTCGCGTCATAGAGCGCGTGGAGTGTTGTCCACTCTGCTCCCAGGACCAACTGATAGTGTTCGCATGCCCCGGTTGGAGCTGGGTCGCTTGCACTCACGACCATAGTTGTAGGTACTTCTGAAGCATTGGTCCCGGTAGTTCCGGTCCTACGTCTGTTGCCCAAGTTCCCTCCTTGAGGGCTTGATGTGTTGTGCGCGAGGAGCATGCACCCTTGGCCACGATGCAGTGTAGGTTGGGCGTGATCTCCGGGACCTGCATCCCATTCAGCCAACGGTCCTCCTAAAATAGTCGTTTTTCCATCCCTCACAGTTGATCTGGTTGCTGCGTGGAATAACTGCATTGAGTGTTCTGGCACCTTTACGGTGAACTCTGCCCATGGTTTGGAAGGGTCGGATCTTTGTAGCCATGGCCATCATGATTGCACCGCAACATTAAGCCAGCCCAGGTTGGGAATACCCAAACCTCCTGCCCACTTGGGCGAGCAGACCTACTCCCAAGCCACCGCACACTGTTGATGACCCACAAGTATAGGGGATCAATCGTAGTCCTTTTGATAAGTAAGAGTGTCGAACCCAATGAGCAGAAGGAAATGACAAGTGGTTTTCAGCAAGGTAATTTCCGCAAGCACTAAAATTGTCGATAACAAGTAGTTTGATAGCAAGGTAATTTGTAACGAGCAAGTAACGGTAATGGTAAATAAAGTGCAGCAAGGTAGCCCAATCCTTTTGTGGCGAAGGACAGTCCAAAATGGACTCTTATAATAAGCAAAGCGTTCTTGAGGGTACATGGGAATTTCATCTAGTCACTTTCATCATGTTGGTTTGATTCGTGTTCGCTACTTTGATAATTTGATATGTGGGTGGACCGGTGCTTAGGTGCTATTCTTACTTGAACAAACCTCCTACTTATGATTAACTCCCTCGCAAGCATCCGCAACTACGAGAAAAGTATTAAGATAAAATCTAACCATAGCATTAAACTTTTGGATCCAAATCAGCCTCTTACAGTAGCGACCCGACCTCAAACGATCAAGTCTCTGTGCTTCAGTGTCATCCCTGGATCGGTAATGCTGACACACACAATACTCGAAGAATTTATAACAGAGTAGCAATCACACACTTATTACATCGAATGTCTCAAAAGAGAACTTATTACAATAAATATGACTTAAGACCATCTAATACGATAATAGCGGAAGGCTTGGAAGATAAAGTGAGTCCATCAACTCCAATGGCATAGCTGAGCAGCTGTACGGCAACGACCTAACGAACCTAACTCCTCGTCTGAAAAGTCTGCAACATAATACGTTGCAGCCTGAAAACGGGTCAGCACATGGAATATGCTGGCAATGTAACACAGTAGAGCAAGAACAAAATAATGCTATCACTATATGCATATTTGGCTGGTGGAAAGCTCTACGGTTAAATTTTTGTGAAAAGCCAATTTTTTCCTACAACAAAGGAATATATTTTATTTAACTATCATGGTAGTTGAAACATCATTGAGAAGGTTCCTCCAACTCAATCCCATTTAAAAGTAATTATCAACCCAACAATATTAATTTAGAGTGATGAGATACATATGATAATCCAAGTACTAGATACTCAAGATGTCCATAACCGGGGACACGGCTAACCATGATTAGTTTGTACACTCTGCAGAGGTTTGCGCACTTTTCCCCACAAGACTCGATCTCCTCCGTTGGATTTCTCGCACTACATGGTGTTTGAGAAACGGATGACCGAGACATAGTCTTTCAGAAGCATTAACTCTC